GCTGCTGCCAGGTTGCTGGTTCGGGGACGTCGGATCGTCCGAGGAACTGCGGCAGGAAGGCTTGTTCGCTGAACTCCTACGGCAGGGACGGATGCTTCACCCACCCAGGACCAGCCCGCTTCCACAGGCGGCTTTCCCGCCTGGCCCTTCATACTGCTCTCTGGGTTTCCATCTCGAACTCTGTGTTGACTGTGTTTGGGGGCCGAAGTTCTCTTACGTAGATCAGAGGCAGGGGCGAAGCTGAGCCTCTGTCGCCTCCCGCCGTCCTCAGTGACTTCTCTCCGGGCCCCTCTGGCTCCTCCTCCACCTCTGGCTCAGGCCCGTCCAGGCCCACGCCCCTCCTCTTCAGCGTCTGCGGGAACAGCAGATGACAGGGTGGGTTCTGCGATCTTACCCGACTCCTGGAACGTGGTTCTAGGGTACTGGAGAGAGGAGACCTTCCGGGGCCAGTCTGCCTGGAGGGATACACGACAGGCGTGACCTGCTCTAAGGGGACCCCAGGGAATAAAACCACAATAAGTTTCCGGAGGTTCAAGTCCCCAGGCGTTAGAAAAAAAGGCTCCGGAGCTACTGCGGTCCCGGGGCTGCAGGTGGCTTCAAGTACCTGCAGAATATCCGCGTTGGTGCGGCTCTCGTGTGGCTCGCTGTACTCAGTGTACTTGAGCAGCACCCGATCCATGTCGCTGCTCGCATACTGGAAGAGGCGCTGCGCGCTGTTGAAGATGATCAGCGCGATGTCGCAATCACACAATACGCTCAGCTCGTAAGCCTTCTTCATCAGCCCGAACTTGCGCTTGGTGAACGTCACCTGAACCACAGAGTGGTTGTGAGACACGGTGTGGGGGATGGGGACGGTAAAGAAGGGTGTCCCTAAGGGACTGCGGGGTGACCTGCTTTCTGGCGTATCAGCTTCAATTTCCATCTTAAGCTGGGAAACTTCTCTGCGTGTTTGCAACTCCACCCAAGTGTCCAGTTCTCTTCTGAGAACATTGGGCCCCGGAAGCAGAACCCAAGCTTTCTGTCTCAGACTCCCCAAAGTGGCCTTGGTCTGGCCGTGCCCCTGCCCGGAATGCCACTTCCCCCAGTGGTGATGTGACCCAGGAACTCACCTGCCTGTTCCTTTGATCTAGAATGCGGGAGATCTGGATTTTTTTCCTTCCCATAGTGCCTGGCTGTCTTGAGTGGCTATTCTGTGAGAGAGGGAGGGAGTGAATGGAACACAGCCAACAGTACCCAGCTTCTGTCCTACCCACTTCAAGCTCCTGAACCACAAAGAGGAGAGCGAGATGGCAAGAAGGAAGGTAGGCCACTTAATCCAGACAGCCCATACTGGGCACCAGCTGGGTACACTACATGCGCAATGCAACTTGGAAACCCATGCCCTCACATCCCTACACCCACGAAGCCTAAGCAAGAAGAAGCTGGGTTCCAGGCCAATCTCAGCTGGGAGACGGAGGACAGTCTGGAATACACCATGTACTCAAATGGACTAGGACATGCTCTGGGCAGTGGACACAGATATGGAGGCTGCTCACTCACTACTGTGTGTTTGCATGTGTGTGTGTGGGGGGGGGGCACAGCCATGAACATGCTCCCTCTGTCCACCATACTGGCCCTGCAGATGGAACTCAGGCACTTGGGTAGGCAGCAGGTGTCTGTCAGCTGAGTTACCGCAGTCACCCTTCTTTAAATTTGTTTTGTTGAGATAGGGTCTCTCCATGTAGCCCTGGCTGTCCTGGAACTTGCAATGTAGGCCAGGCTGGCCCCAAACTCACGGAGATGCCCCCTACTTCTGCTTCCAGAGCACAGGACTTAAAGGTGTGTGCCACCATGCCCAGCTCTTTTCTTTGTTTAATTTAGTGAATTTTGCATGATTAAATGGCATTTAGTGTGTTTTCCTGTACTGTGTAATCATTACCTTAGTTTAATTCCAGAACATTTTATGGTCATCAAGCCAGCAGTGCAGTTGCTCCTGCTCCCTTCCCCTTCCCCCTGTTCCTTCTGCTTTCTGGCTCTGTTGGGGTCCCTATGTTCTGGACATCTCCACACATAGGGTCACACACCGACTGGGCCTGGGGGCTGCCCACATTTTCATTCTGGAACCTGAAGGGAGAGTGTTCTGAGACATGGTTTTGCTAAGTAGTCCAGGCTGCCCCAAAACTCAAAATCCCCATCTCAGCCTCCAGGGTCCCCATAGAACAGGTGTGGTCACCACATCTCCCTCAGGAAAAATGCTTGGCTGTGTTTTTTCTGCATGGGCTTCGGGAAAAGTCACCCCTGGCAGACTTGGGGACTCCACCAAAGGGCCCACTTGGGGACTTGGGAAGCCCCTGGCCTCCATGGCAGAGACCCTGGGTCTCCCTGGCTTCCAGGAGTTCTAGATGAGTCTGGGCTATGGTGAAAACTTATCACAAATAAAGAAAATAAGATAAAGTTTCTGAGCTGGGTATGGCCAGCACTTGGGGGTTTAGGCAGGAGGATTGCTGGAGTCTAGGAGCTCTAGACTAGTCTAGGCTTCATTGTAGGGTTGTCTCAAAAGCATTGAGACTAGGGAGATGGCTCAGCTGGTGAAAAGCTTGCTGCCTGAGAGGGAGGACCTGAACCGCACCCCAGAACCACTGAAGAAGAGAACAGGTCTACGGCCCATGCACTGGGAGGCAGAGACAGGCAGACGCCGGCTCCAGGCCAGCCCATCTGGCCAAAGGAGCAAGCTCTGGGGTTAGTGCAGACCATGTCTTAAGGCTATAAAGTGGGATCTAGGGAGAAGGTCCCAGGGTTAAGAGCTCTGGCTTCACAAGAATGAGAACCTGAGTTTGAATCTCAGGACTCGTGAATTCTGGGTGCTCAGATCTAACCCAATGCTGAGAATGGTGGGCACATGAGGAGTACTGCGGGTGGGGCTTGGTGGCCATGAGGGTAGATCCAGGTTCAGTGAGAGACCTTGTCTGAAGAGAATAATGTGGGAAGTAATAGAGCAGGACACCCAGTGTCCTCTGCATAAGTACACACACAGAGACACACATACACACACACAGACAGACACACAAGCACAGAAAGCAATAGACCATGACACCCCACATCAGGCTCCAGACAAAAAGGAAAGAGAAGAGAGCTAGGCCCCACTGGCCTAGGGCACTACATCCTACATACAAGTCTAGGCTCCCAGAGATCCAGACCAGGGAGACTGAAGGGTGTGAAGGGTGGGCCTGGAACACGTGGCTTAGAGTCAGAGACGTAACTGGCCATTCTCAGATGATCTGAGCTTTTTCTGTTTTTGTTTTTGTCTTTCTTTTCTCTTTTTTTAATTTTTTTTAGGAGACAGGGTCTTTGTAGCCCAGGCTGGCCTCAAACTCACTGTGTAGCAAAAGCAGGTCACTGTGTTGGGGATCAGGTAGCTCTACAGTCTTTTCATAATACAAAGTTATCTATTGCCACAGGGAGATGAGACAGACACTGAGGCCCTTATTCCCTTGGGGACAATCCCCTCTGCCAACTCTTGGACCATACAACCCCTCTTGCCTCACAAGTGGCTGAGGCTTCCAATCAATGGTCACCTCAGGGTCACATGGACCTGAATCCATTTCCCATTAGGGATGCCTCTCTCTCAGCCTCCACCTGCTGACTTTAGAGTTGGGTGGGTGACAGGTGCCCAGGTAGACAGAGCATGTCCAATGCTCTTAAGAAAATGACACTGAAGGTCTCAAATGGTTCTTCTTTTTCTTCTTTTTTTTTGTTTTTTTGTTTGTTTGTTTGTTTGTTTTCGGAGACAGTTTCTCTATGTATTTGGAGCCTATCCTGGCACTCGCTCTGGAGACCAGGCTGGCCTCGAACTCACAGAGATCCACCTGCCTCAGCCTCCCAAGTGCTGGGATTAAAGGCGTGCACCACCAACGCCCGGCTTTCAAATGGTTCTTCACACCAGTGATCCTAGCACTTGGGAGGCTGAGGCAGCAGGATTTCTGGGAGTTCTGGGCCAACCTGGGCTACAGAGTGAGTTGCTGCCTCAATGAAACAAAGACAGGTGAGATACTGTGTTTCTGAGCTGGGATCACTCTCGTCAGCATTAAGAACACTCCAGAGGCTGAGGCAAGGGATGTCTTGAGTTTTGGAGCTCCCAGCCAGTCAGACCTACAAGACCTATATAGAGGAACTCTGTCTTTAAAAAACAAATGATGGCACACACCTGTCATCTCAACACTGAGGAAATGGAGACAGAGGATTAGGAGTTCAAAGCCGGCCTCAGCTAAATAGTGAATCTAATGCTAGCCTGGGCTACATGAGACCATATTTCCCTCCCATAAAAAGAAAAAGAAGTTCAGATTCATTGAGCTTGTCATGGCTACTCCCTAGTCCCCAGTCCAAGTGGTCTGGCTGTGGCTCCCATCTTCCTAGGAGTCCTGCGTATCTAGCAGTGTGGAATACTTTAGCTGGCATAGGTGAGAAGCTTTGGGCTAGCCTCCACCCTCTCTGAGCTGGGTTGGGTCTGCAAGTCAAGTCCAAGAAGCAGATCCAGGAACAGCAGGCCCCACTCCAGCTTCTTACTAAATTTAACCCCCTCACTAATTTTACCCTTAGCTGGAGTCGGGCCTTTCCCAGGGTTAGGATATGTGGTCAGAACCCAGGCAGGTCCCTGGAGGCTGAAGGGGGGCACTGGGCCGGAGGTTCCCTGGCCAAGATGACTCCGGAAATGCCCCCACCCTGAGGTCCTGTGAGAGCCAGGCCAGGCTTGGACCTGAGTCACTGGGTCTTAGAAGATCTGAGGGCAGCTCCCTCTGCCCTTGAGATGTGAGGCAGGAACAACAGTAAGGGTGAGGTGCAGGGAGAAGGGATGTGGGGCTCTCTCTGAACAGAGGCCTGAGTTCAGGGAAAGGAAAGTAAGCTCTTAGAAGGAACAGCAGGGTGCAAAGGCCCTGAGGTGGGAGGGGGCTGGGACCCGGAGCAGGGCTGGGGCCTCTGCCTCAAGCACACAGGTGACGGATCCATCACTGAGGGCAGAGGGAGGGTTGTGGAGACACAGGCTTTTTATTTTCATTTCTTGAGACAGGGTCTCATAGCCCAGGCTGTCCAGGAACTCACTGTGTAGACTAGGCTGGCCTCGAACTCACAGAGATCTGCCTGCCTCTGCCTCCTCAGTGCTGGGATCAAAGGCTTGCGCTGCCACACCCAGCTTGGTCTGTGGTTCTGTAGCTGAGGAAGCCCTTGAACCCTTTGTCTCCCTGCCTCCACTTCCTGAGTGTTCTGTGGGCTGCTAAGGATGGAACCCAAGTCTTCACGTGGGTGCTGGGAATTGAACCCGAGTCCTCTGGAAGTGCTCTTACCTGAAAAATCTCTTCAACCCCCTAATTTAAAATT